TATTATTATTATTATTATTGAGTTATAGGAAAAATGTTAATCTTTAACGTGTTACTTCAGGAACTAAGAGATGCATATGCTAACCTTGAGCCGAAGCACGAGAGAGAAATTAATGATTTGATGAACAGTTATAAGAAGTCATATCCAGAATGGGTTTTCATATTAAGGTCTTTTTCGTTACGTTTTTTTCCCGTGCTTTACGATGTATATGGTTGTTCTTTTTTAAAGTTTATTTATTTGTTTATTGATTGATTTATTTATTTATAATTTTTTATGTTTAAGGTGTGGCTTTGGGCTTTTGATGTATGGGTTTGGTTCAAAGAAATTCTTGATAGAAGATTTCGCTTCATCTGCCTTGACCGATTATTCTGTTGTTGTGATTAATGGATATCTTCAGCAAATCCATCTTAAGCAGGTATAAATAATTATATAATCTGTCTCTGTTTTCTTGTCTTCATTTTTGTGTTGTGTCTTAGTTGCTTGAACTTCTTTTATCTTACTGAGTTGAAAGTATAATGCGAACGAACATGAGCTTTTGCAGATAGGATGAGATAACGAAACAATAAAACATAGTTGAGAAGCAAACACATAAACATAGTTGGGAAAGATGTGCATGTCACTTGTATCGATTCAGTTTAGCTAATCAATTTCTAAGCTTATCAAGCTTTTCGCATCGGCCTATAAGTTTGTTAATTCTATTCGAGATTAATCTGCCAAATAGTATAATAATGGAGCTGGGGAAGTGTGATCAAGTAGGCTGAAATTAAGTGGGATGTGTTGGGAGACACATTTCGTTGAAATTGCTTTCTGTTTTGCTTTGTATTACAAATCAGTTTACATTCAATAAAATTACATATTGGAACGCAAACGATATCTCCATAATTTTTACTACAAACACTATATCTTCTCATTTGCTATTCGTCAAACTCAAGTGCGGATTTTTCAATGGAGGTTCTATGAATTTACTGTTGTAAACTTTTGAAAATGAACATCTTTCAATGGAGGTTCTATGAATCCATACTACAGTTAGTAATTATGTCAGCAACACATATGCACCCAGTACACATATATAGCTCATACAATTCCAAAATATAAATCAATCAACCATGAATTCAGAAAATCAGTTTGATGGTATTCTCCTTGTGAATGTTAAATATGTAAATGAAATGGGCGGAACAAAACTTAACATGTAAATGGAATGGTCACCAAATGACCTCATAGTTTGTTCATCTTCATTCTTAACACCATTTAAGTAATGTTTGTCCAAATTATCATGAGTGTAAACATCTCGAACGCAACAGTGCACTTGACATAGCAGATTTGTTTGCAAATCTTTGGAAAAACACCTCATACAAATTCTTGATAATTGAACGGTAACTAGACTACTGACAAATTAACAAAGATGATTATTTTCAATTTTTTTTGTTAAAAATGCGTTACTTTTAATTTTTTTCCTACTGTCAAACGTCTTTGAGGAAACCTCTCAGTGTTTTTTGTTATCATGTCACTCGAATAATTGATGTAGCCAAGGTATGCGTTCACGGATAATCATTCTATTAGTTTATGCTGAACTGACCATATTTGTTTGCTAAAACTTTAAATAGATCAAAACTAATTTGCTGCACTTAATAGTGCTTATTTTTATATCTTCTTAATATTTTTTGCTCATTGGAAAGGCATTTAATAGCGAGTAAAGGAAATTTAGTTAGGCCCATTATGCTTAACATCAAATCATGGATATTGAAATTGTAGGTTGTAATAACATTGGCTGAACTCTTGTGGGATCAACTGAAAATGCATGGCAAAACCACCTGGGAAAATGTTCCTAAAAACCAACAGCCGTTTAATACCAAATCCATGGATGATCTTATTGCATTTCTAGATGGACCACACTTGGAGGACAAAGAATGTTTCGTATGTGTTGTGGTACATAATATTGATGGGCCTGGTTTGCGTGACTCTGACACTCAACAGTATCTCGCCAGAATCGCAGCCTGTTCTCATATCCGTGTGGTTGCATCCATTGATCATGTGAATGCACCTCTGTGTAAGTACTATCTGATTGTCAGAACTTTTTTGAATAGTATAATGAATCAATTTTTAGTATAAATAAAATACAGTGAAAAGTTTCATCTACATTTGCAAGTGATCCATTTCCACGAGTGCTACCATTTCATTCTTTGTATTATTTGGTGGACAATCGAACATCCATTTGTGTGTTATATGAGGCTTTTCGTCCTAATATTATTACATTGGTTATGTCAGTATGGGACAAGAAGATGGTTCACACTCAGTTCAATTGGTACTGGCTCCATGTTCCTACCTTTGCTCCATATAATATTGAAGGAACGTTCTTTCCTCTCGTTCTCGCTCATAGTGGAAGTGCTCAAACGGTTAAGACAGCTTCAATAGTCTTACAGAGTTTGACACCAAATGCCCAAAGTGTTTTTAAAGTTGTTGCAGAGCATCAGTTAGCCCATCCCAATGAAGAAGGCAAGTGGCTATATGTTATCTGAATGACTATTTTGCATAGAAATCAGTTACTTATATTCTTCTTTTTCCAGGGATGCCACTGAATAATTTATACACAATTTGTCGAGAGCGCTTTTTGGTGAGTAGCCAGATTACTCTCAATGCTCATCTGACGGAATTCAAAGATCACGAACTGGTGAAGACCAGAAGAAATTCAGACGGGCAAGACTGTCTAAATATTCCTCTAACAAGTGAAGCACTTGAAAAGCTTGTACAGGAGATCAGCCAATAGAAATTTCCTTCTCCATCTTCTATTGAAAGCTCGATCGACGGGCTATCTTTCCACGGATGATTGCTCAATTATCGTGTAAGCTGCTGCCTGTTTATGTTCTGAAAATATAGCTTTCACATCTCCATTGAATGTACATCTTCACTGCCTCTAAAATATATCCTTAGCACTCTCATGGAAAATGCTCTTCCGTGACAACTTTTTTAGATCTGATTTGATGCCATCATGATTTTATTTTGTTGTCATGTGAAAGTGGTAAAGTCAGTTTTGTATACTAATTCTAATGGTGTATTGGGGGGTCATTGTTTTACTACCATGAGCATAAAGTATTTTCATGGGCAATATTTACAAGTGGGGGAGGGAAGTAATTTTGTATGGGAAAATATAAATTGTAAAGAATTCATGTGCAATGCATGTAAAAGCATTAAGTGAAGGAACAACATGCCATTCAAAGCAGCAATTGCTACAGTAAAAATTATATTGGTGCTATACAATTAATGCAACGCGGAAGAAATTGGATATAAATAGAGGAAGAATTGTAGAAGAAATGTATTCAGTTTCAATCTTTGAGCGACACAGCATAGAGAGTATTGAGAGAAAAATATTACTTTTTTCTTTAGTGTTTCTCACTTAGTTTCTTCTAGTACAAGAGAAATAATTATTCTTTTACTATTGAAATCTTTCTATACTTGCTCGTGGATTTCCCCCCAAATTAAATTGGGGGTTTCTACGTAAAATCATTGTGTTCATTTTATTTCCAGTTTTTTCTCAATCTCACTTTCGTTGCGTTCTAGTGGTCATGTTCTATTTCCTAACAGTCGTATTAGAGCTTAGGCCTTGTTTGATAAGCCATATTCTCCAAGGAAAGTGGAAATTTTTTTCCATTTTCCCACTTTTTACCTTGTTTGATGTGTCAAACTTTACCTGGAAAATATTTTCCTATTTTCCCCTCACGTGACCTCTTTTCCCTGAAATCCTTGAAATATATTCCCCGTCTCAGAGTAGGTAAACATTTTCCACGAAAATCAGGAAAATCAAACCCCATAAAATCGAACCCTTTCTTCCCCAAACCTTCTCTCGACACCGGATGCCGTTCGATTCGCCCTCTTACGCAGCATTGATTGCTGCCGTTTTCTAGTTGAACCCAGCTGACGACCATTGTCTGCAGTCGTCTCTCACGGCGAACCTTGCGTTGCTTCCTCCGCCATTGAAACAGGTAGGTTTCGTAGCTGTAATTTGTTCGATTTTTTTTTTTTTGGTTTCTGTTTAGCAATTTCATCACTGCTGGTTCATACACCGAGCTACTTCACGCTTTCGTTTACGGATTTAAGCCCTTCTCTGTGTTACATTTGCAATCTCGATGCCCATTTGTTGGAATTGTACATTTCGAACTGTGGGTCATCGCCAATGGTGTTTCGATTTACTT